CTCTCCTTGTAGCTCTTGACCTTCAGTTCTGGGAGCCACATAGTGGCATGTCTTTGCACATGCCACTGTATATGAGAATGTATACGCTGTACATGAGAAAGCGTGTAGGCTTCGTTGTTCCATGAGCAGAGAGATATGGGAAAGTTAACCTAAGTACAGTACAGTAGACGGTAGTTTAAGTAGTGAATGTATACAAACTGTTGACCAGGAGAGCTGCGAGTAGTACTCGGGCCCGTGAAGCACTCTTGTCTACTGTACCATACATGGTATTACACTAATGTTCCCAGCTTTGGTATTTAGTGAGTGAATAATGTGTCCGGCTGACTGGTAAAGAGAGAAGAGTTTAGTGTGGATATATGTGGTGTAATACACTACCTAAGTAGAGTATGGTGGGCACGAAGCCCCAGTGGAAGATGGTCTTGCCCAAGTCGATGACGCACTGCAGCCTCTGCTTGGTGTCCACACTCAACTTCATGATGGGTGGTTGATGCACTCCACGCTAATACCTCACACAAGACCCCTGGCTGCTCAGGAGCGTCAAGACTGGTGTGTGGGAGTGTGGTAGAGCGGGTCGTGGTGGTGTGGTGGTGGGGCCGGTGTGGTGGCGACCAGCGTTGCCAGATACAAATTGCTAAAAGTAGCGAGCTGACGGTCTAAAAGTTGCGAATTTGTAATAAGAGTAGCCCAATTTTTTGTTTAGTGACTGATACGGGTTTCAAAGAAATCTATTATCATACATAGAGTACATTAATCGATTTTAATTGTTTTATTAACGTTATCTCTGCATATATATATTTAACCAATATGATAATAGGATAACTTACCAATATTTACTGTTTGAAGCTTAATGGGTGTGAAGTCCTTCCACGTCTTTACAGTTGAAGATTACCAAGATCTTGATCTACATCCACAACCTCGTTCTTGTATATTGCAGACTCATATTTAAGCATTGACATGAGTGGTTCAAATGGCGAGCAACAAGTTACATTTTCTTCAGGATATGTTTTGATTCTCAAGACTGATGTCAAAAGCTCAAGTCCCATTCCCATTCAAGATTTCTCAGTTTAGTTTTCACAGACGTTACTCTCGAAAATATCCGCTCAACCAGGGCATTACTGATTGGCAAGCTGTATATTTTCAACACAAACTCAGCGAGGTCAATCAGTATGGGATCGCCAGCAGTGTTCTTGACAGTTATTGTCGTGGTCTAAAATGACGATTCAGATGTCGGAATTTGTCCCTTACAAATGTTGGACTAGTCAATGGTTAACAGTAGGCGCCACTGACTTTCAATTTCACTAAGCTTAGATTGGTCAGCTAATACTAACGGAAGTTCCGAAAATGGTGGCCATGTAAGCTAAGGCATATGATAGGTAACAGATTTTTCACCTTTTTTATAGTTTCAACATTACTTAGAATACGAGAAAGAAGCTATTTGCAAGCTTTCATTAAAAAATTATCGCATCTTTCTTGAACATTTTGAAACTTTTCCTGGGTTGTAAAATTGTTTTGTCTGTTAGTGGCCATAAGTGCTGAAAATTAGTAACCAAAGTCAACTTTCTCCAGGGGCAGATACATAGAATTGTAGTCCAAATTAACATGAAGCTTTGCATGATGAGGACGAACGATTCTTCTGAGTATTCCAAGAGTGAAGTTTTCTAAGACAGTGTGAAGGCTTCATCTTTTGATAAAGTAAATTCATCCTTTCAAAATCATTTAGGATTGGTTTGAGACATGTGAAATATAGCTTACTGGAGGGATCAGCGTACATTGAAAATAGTTGCCTTGCAACATATTTATCACAAGAGGAAAAATATTTGGTAATGAGTTGTTAGAGAACCCCACTGATCAAACGGCCGCTTACACTACCGCTCCTTGCCAACCATCTTCTTCCTGACAAAGGGATTAACTGTAAGGGATCTTTCCCATCATTTATCTGTAAATTTCTAGATAACTTTCTACCCTTAATGAAGATCTGTGGAACCAGGTGTAGCTTTTGGGATGAAGTATTATTAACAATTAAGGTTGGGAAATCTATTGCCCCAGGGGAGGATTACCTTGCCTTGCGGTTACTTTTTCTTTCAAAGGTTCCTAGGATCAACGTCCCCAGGGGCCGGTCTCTGACCAGGGCTCTCCTGCGGTAAGTGGTCTAGTCAATCAGGCTGTTGGACTCGGCTGTGATTTGTACAGATTAAAGCATAAATAATCATCATTGAGTTTCTTAATATTAATAGCCCAAAGTAGCCCAACTTGCGTTTAAACTAGCCCAAAAAGTCGCAAGTAGCGAAATTAAAAATTTGGGAGCGCGGGGCTCTCAAAAGTAGCCCAATTCGCTACTTGTAGCCCAATCTGGCTGTCCTGGTAGCGCCTCCTGCCACCAGTGATGCCACATCTCACTGAAGGTAGCGAGCTCCGCTAAACGTAGCGAATTTGTAGTAAAGCAAGCTCAATATTTTGTTTAGTGACTGATACGGTTTTTATTGTAATATATGTTAATAAATAGAGTAGCACTACACGATTTTATTGGGTTTATTATTATCACTGCATGTATTTAATAAAAAGTGCGATAATAGGATACCCTCCAATATTCACCGCGAGAAATATAATTATATGGGTGTGGAGTCCCTCCACGTTATTATTATTATCAAGAAGTTATTCTGCATCCACAACCTCATTCTTGTATGTTGCAAAATCATATTTTACCAAAGGATTGGTGGTTCGAATGACGAGCAACATGTCCTTTTTTCTTTTTGATATATATTTCCACAGATGTTATTCTCGAAAGTACCCGTGCAACCAGGGCATTACTGATCGGTAAACTGTATATTTTAAGTGCCAACTCAGCGAGGTCATGACTCGCATGGGCTCTCCAGCAGCGTTCTTGACAGTCATTATTACTCTGGTCCAAACTGACGCTCCAGATGCTAGAATTTGTACCCCACAAATGTTGGTCCAGTTAGTGGGTTAACAGTAGACGACAATGGTTTTCAATTTCACTAAGCTTAAAGTGGTCAACTAGAACCAATGGGAGTTCTGAAAATGGTGGTCGTGATTAGCAAAGCATATTCTACTGACTAGTTCTTCACCTTTCTGAAAGTTTCAGCAATACTAAGAATGTAATTTGGAAGCTCTTAGCAAGTTCTCACTAAATATTTATGGCATCTTTGTTGAACACTGAAACTTTTCATGGGTCATAACATTGTTTTGTCTGGAAGTGCAGAAAATTCGCAAAGTCCGGGAGCAGCTCCCTCGATCGTTGTCGCCCCTCAATTACCAATAACACTATCTCCAGGGACAGATAAATGGAATTGAAGCCCAAATTAACAAGAGGCTTTACATAATCAGGATGCACAATTCTTCTCTGCATTCCAAGTCCAACTGGTTGAGAGTTAGGCAGTCTTTGACGTGATTGGGAAGGTCATTCCACATTTAGCGAGCGTCTAAATTAGCTACTTTTAGCCCAATCTGGCATTACTGCCTGGGACGGGACGGTTAATACTCGTTATGCTCAATACTCACAGAAACTGGAAACATTTTATGGTCAACTAAAATAGAATTTACTTATGGTGATCTTGACAGGAACAAGAAGCCGATTTCTTGTCGAAAGTCCCACCATTGCTCCTGGGGATTTTTTTACAACTAGATTTTAAACTGAAGTAATATCTTGTCATTTATGGCTTCGGCGGGAATGCGGTTTAGAGGGATTGTATGGTAAAAAGGCAGGAATTCGTTTCCCGTCGGCGTCAAGTCTGTAAACACACCAAGAAGTGATCTGAAGCAAACTACATTAGAAATATTGTAGCAACTACTTAAATTATCCACAAGAACTTCACAATTACAGGAATACCACATACAACTAATAATATTTGTTAATTTTATTCTTATTTGCACCTATTTTTATGTTCACGCATGGGACAATAATACTTATTGACCCATGCGTGAATATAAGAACAAAAATAGGGTAATTTCCAGAAAAGTGTCTAAGAGGTACTGGTCAATACTATTTAAGCAAATAGAGAGAGCTTAGATAGCATTGCTACTACAGAGCTCTACAAGTTCGTAGGGCTCTGGTCTAGCAGTGAACGACTTCAGATTACTAGTATTATAGTATTAGTATTATAGATTACTAGTATTATTCAGTATTGACTACTGGTCAATACTATTTAAGCAAATAAATAGAGCTTAGATAGCATTGCTACTACAGAGCCCTACAAGTTCATAGGGCTCTGGGGTCTAATCGTGATCTGAAGTCGTCATATCTTGGACTGAAATCATTCACCGCTAGACCACAGAGTGCTATAAACTTCCAGATATGTGAGGTTAGGCTAATTAGTAGGTAGTTTTCTTTTGCATTCTTACCCGAGGGCCACTAACACACTAGCAACCTCGACGAGGACAGGAAATCAGCGGCTTGTCAGTCTCCCCATTAATTTGTCCTGATGATTTTTTTCAAAGATGGATTTTGAAATTCAAGTTATTGCACTTACGGCGTCAGCGAGAAGACGATGCAATGAGTTTATAGCACTGTGGGTGAAACAGTATCTCCTGTTATATGTCCTACATTGTAGCTTGTTGAGCTTGAAACCGTTACTCCTTATTGAAATTGAAATAAGTTTATTGAGGTAAAATACACACAAAGGGATGAGGTAGCTCAAGCTATTCTCACCCCGTTCAGTACTTTTTGTTTGTATTTCCTGTATTATTATTGTTTGTATACAATATTTTATGAAATTCTCACAAGATGCCTGCATGTAGGGCTAAAATAAATGATTGTGTGCAAATTGATTAGTTCTCATCCCCAGATAAATGATCAAGAATGCAATATTTAGAATGCTTTGGTGTTCCTGAACATGCACACTTTTACTCAAAAGCTTAAACCAAGTACACGTGTTCTGTCTCCCATCTTAACCATCAGCCCATTCTTGCCACTTCATCTCTGTAACCACTATCTTTACATTATCCTACAAACCCTTTGGATTTTAACAAATGATGAACTAATGCAACTCTGTATCTCACTTTATTTTAGACTAAAAATCTGTACATGTGTGATTGCTCATTGCTGACGGCCAAATAAAAATTAAATTAATGACAACATTCATGACAATTTTAAAGTAAATTAGTATAATTTAAGAATTTTCAATTGCAACATTTGCATTAAAGATCAAGAACATAAAAATTAGTAATTCCATCTAAATTCATGGCACCCATTTCAAAACATTGTAAAATAATAATTTTACATCATAAATATTTGGTTAATTAATATAAGTTATATAACTGCACATTCAGTACATAAAATTATACTGTACAGTATTAAAAATATGATTGCCTAAAATATCTTCGAAAATGTTGTAGGGGTTGTTGCTCCATCGGCAGAGATTCCTCGAGAGTGTGATGCATCATCTTGTTGGTTGGCAAGAGAGCCATACTGTCCTGTGTGTGCTGCCTCATGTATTCTGGAGTAGCCTGGTAAATATACATCATAATGAATTATTAAGATTAAAATCCAATGTATAATAAAAACACTTTTCTAATATGTAATTACATTTTCTGAACCTAAAAGTAACTATCTGTATTGGAAAAAGATGCAAAGCTAGTAAGATAAAACAGTTTAGCACCATTCAAATCAACTCAAGATACCAATACAAGAACAGAAAGACATAAGATTGGATTCACGAAAGCTATTTGATTCACACACAAATCACCAAGCTTTGACACCATCTGACTAGGTAATTAACTTAACCCCACCACTCTCTGGCCTGGCACACTATTGGATACTGTACTTGAATTGTTCATGCGGAGAAAAGTCTTCAATTTCTATATTGTGTCTAGTTTTCTTTGGGATATATGTCTATGCCCATGCTTAGGATGTCTTCACAAGCATGAATGCTAGGCTCTCTCTCTTTCTCCTCATACTAGCTAGGCAGAACTAACCCTATATACCTCGGAAGATGAACAGGCCCAAAACCAGAGTCTGGCAGAGCCAACTGAACGAGTCAGCATTGACCGTCTATTCCATGGACAGGGGAATGAACTGTGATAGGCCATCTGCCAGGACATTGGGAACCCCCCCCCCCCCATGGGGGGAAGGTGTCCCAACTACAAGCACTCTAGAGTTCATTGTTGGTCGGCTGGCGGTAGCGAGTGTGGCTGCCGAGGTCGTTTGTCTGTTCCGGCAGAGAATGGTTGGGGGGATGTTGTCTACCTGTACGCGAGGAACGGTCTGGTACAGTGACCAGAACACGGAGGTTTAAGCTCCATAAGCCCCAATCCCCCCCAAGAGCAAATTGATACATACCACTATAGAAAGAACAAAACGAAAATAACTTCACTAGTGTTTATTCAATAAATTTTTAAGATGAACCAACATTTGTATGCAGAGCCACTGACTGCATGCTGTCATATATGCAAAAACATTTACGCTGCAACCTCCAAAACTCAAATCATATTGTTACATACCTGATCTAGATTCATGAAAATCTAGTTATCCAAATAATTGTTCATAATTGGCTACTGTACTTATCCTAAAAAAATTGTATAATTTGAATTGAATAATGAATTACAGTAATGTGTTTATTGGAACATGAAGCTAAATGTAGGAGATGACACATTAATGTATCAATGCAATGCAAAAGTGTTACGTCATAATGTCTTGAGGCAACTGTGTAAATAAAATAGCACTAAGAGACATTAGCACAGAAGTGTGGCAAATGAGGAGCAGTACAGTATTGTAATTTTCCAACTTACCATGTGCTTTGTCAACAGTATTGTAATCTTCCAACTTACCATGTGCTTTGTCAACAGTATTGTAATCTTCCAACTTACCATGTGCTTTGTCAACAGTATTGTAATCTTCCAACTTACCATGTGCTTTGTCAACAGTATTGTAATCTTCCAACTTACCATGTGCTTTGTCAACAGTATTGTAATCTTCCAACTTACCATGTGCTTTGTCAACAGTATTGTAATCTTCCAACTTACCATGTGCTTTGTCAATATCATTCCAATACTGTTCTTCTCCAGACACAAATATTACGTAAAATGTGTTTCCTACAAAGTACACTATGCCAGCTATCCAAAATATTAACTTCCACTGTCCCACAGTTTCCTGAAATTGACAACTGATATTTTAAAAGAATTACAGTACATGTATATTTTTAATTTAATCTATAACAATATATCCATTAACTTTTATTTAAATTCAAGTGTGCTAACAATGATTTTTACAATGTACATACTGTAATTAAATGTAGCACATGTCAAGTATCTTCCTATAATAATCTAGGAGACAATAAAAGAGTTGGCCAAATAAATCACACATTAACAGCTAGTTTATTATCTGAATAGGTTAGTCATCAAATAGGAAGCAAGAGAGTGACTTTAGCCAGAAATGGGGTGATGCAGGATGCACCACCTTCCTGTTGATGGAGGTGCTCGGTTCATTAGATTGGTTTTCTAGTAGGCCCAGTTTCCTCTTTATTTTCTAGGTGTATAGTTTCTTCTTCAGTTTTAGATCCTCGATAGTGGGGTTGTCTAGGTCATGGCACTCAAAGTCACTGAAGAATCCATCCACTGTTTTGCAGTCGCAGAATTATCTTAATTAATATTCTCGCACATAGCCAGTTTTACAGTTCCAGCATGTTTTATTCTACTTAAAATTGCATATTCAATTTAATAATGTACTGTATTTAGGCATTTAAAACAATTTAAAGATAAAAAAATTTGAGTAAATTATGACAATTTCCTCTACCATACCAACTTTTCTGGGGCGCCTCCTGTGGCCCCTGAAACTATATCTCAATGAGATGACATCTATAACTGATGTGACTCAGTAGTAGGGAGTCTTGTTTAGCCTACCGGGAATCAGAGCCAGAGCCTGGCCCCCCCCCCCCACCTCACAAAGAAGCAGAGGTTTGTTATGATTACCCTCACCAAGAGAACAAACTTAGTAAAACAATACAGACAGCTGCAAGGTTCACAGAAAATGAAGCACCAAAATAGCCAAAAAACTCCACAAACAATTCATTCAGTGCAAATGCATCACTTGAAATTAATTTGAACCCCTTAATGCAAATGGGTACCAACAGATGGCTCCCTGGAAACTCCCGTTTTTCTTATGTTAGACTTGTTGGTTCTTCCCAAGTTGCCTCAGCATAGCAAGTCCTACTTCTTTCTCAGATAAGTGCTGGCCATTCTTTAGACTTTTTCCTGAAGGGGTCCATTGTTTATGTTGTTATTGTTTGTTTATATTTGTCTTTTACGTTTTTGTTTATCATTCATGCTTTTTTTATTTGCTTCACGAGCATGTTTCACTGCTGCACTTCTTGTTATGGATTTGGTCTCTTCTTCACTTTAACCACTCAAATGCACAGAGTGCATTAAGGTGCTCAGAAAATTGCTATTTTTTTAATTAGGTTATATTTTAATGTTATTTAATTTTTCATCACTCTGATGTAACACCCATGACTCCCCCCCCCATTCCCAGAGCTCACACCCAGAAAAGCTTTCTCCAAAAGGTAAGCCCAGATGACATCTGGGTCGTCTTGCAAAGTTAATTAAAATATTCCTGGGCTAGTCGTAGTAAGCTAGTTTCAAGTAGGTGATATCTCATGATAATCTTGTCAAACATTGTAATGGAATTTGACCCCCCAGATTCTTATGTGTAAACACCCACAGATCTACCCCTTTCTGCCAGGTCAGAGGTCAACCACCTGCAGGGGGAGTGTTGGCTGTGTAAATATTCGGGTAAGGAAAACGTTCCTCCTTCTTCTTGTAATTAATAATTCCCATCCTTGAAGAGGTGTATGGTCATTAACTTTACCTGCACATTTATAAAAACAATAAAAATATGTCCTTAACAATTGCACTATGAAGGTTTTGCCAAAAACATGTACGCAGTGCAGTGGTTAAGCTGCAGGCGTCTAAGTTGACCTTTTCTTAGGCACTCATCTAACGTTGCCCTTGCACCGACAGAGTACCTTCTCTGGTGTGTTCAAGAGTTCACTGCTGAGAGGCAAGGCCACCAACTATGGAGGAGTCGAAGTTGTTGACTCCTCTGTGAGGCCATATGGCGGGGGGGGGGGGGGGGGGGGGGGGTGTTCTGGAGATTATGAATTGGGGCACTCTAGGGTATGCACACTTGTTCATACAGCATATTGTGGATACCTTCCGTAGCCAGCTTTATCCCTAGGCTGCATTGAAGTGTCTCTTCTTTCATTAAGTAACCTTAGTGCCTGGGTGTCTTGCTTAGTTACTCGTCTTCAGGCCTTTGTAACTCTCGTTCAGGTCTGCAGTGTGGCTCATCGTGTACCAACCCATCAAGTTCACCTTGCTACACGCCGATGGTCATTCTGTCTCTGTCATGGTTCCTGCTGGGTCAGTGACACCTTCGACCCCGAGTCCTGCAAAGTGTGCACTCATTGGGCCTCTCTTAATTTTTTTTACTATAATGCAGCACAGTGCAGTGGTTAACGAAGTACAATATAACAAAGTGTTGTTTAAACAAGAAGTCAAGGACTAAATGTAAAGTCAACCCTTATTGATATATGTATTTTACCTTTCCATTTTTCAATTTCTTGTTTCTTTATTATGCTCGCCATACCCATCCCAAGGGCAGTGGTGGAAAGGGTTACAGAGGCACATAATCGGTTCAGGAACTGAACCACATAGTTTGTCTGGCTAAGCAAGTGACAATCTTTTGAAGCTAGTTACACAATTGTTAATGTTGCATACACATGTAAATATATACTATATATGCATCCATGTACACAAATACATATACATGTCAATACCTTTCCATTAGTGAGATATCCAACCAGCTGAGGAGCCAAGAACCCTGGGATGGTAGCAGCAGTGTTGGTGATGCCCATAAGTGTACCAGCAAAGTTGGGAGCAATATCCAGGTGAGAGTTCATGTAGCCAGAATACACAGCTCCATTGAGGCCTACAGCTCCACAAAGTAAGGCAACTGCTATATTTTTGTTACAGCCAGCATAGCCAGTCAGGATGATGCAAACCATTGGACCATAAATGCCTAAAACATTATATTTCACCTATTAAACATGAAAAAACTTGTTAACAACATATGCCAGTCACATGGCATCAATACTGTGGTAAGAATGAGTCAAATACTCTGCATATGTCACACTTTTGAAGTAGAGTAGTTATTATAGCACTAAATGGAATTCTATTGTGTAGAGGCACTCATCCTTGGAGTAAACCTACTACCATAATGACAACAGTATATTGCAGCCAAATTCATTAATCATTCACTATATTCGAAATTCTGCTCTTGGCTATTGCCATATTGTCACATTACTTGTGACAATATGAATTGTCATTTTCATTTTGTGACAATTTTGAATTTCCAAAAGACAATTTTGAATTTCCTCTTTTATAACTAAAATACAGTATTGTTCACAACAAGGATAGCATGTAAAAATCTCCCCTTTGTAAGGCCTTACCAATACTATTGAAGATTCTGCGGGTAGCTGTGGTAGAGAGGGTGCCTCGTGCCCTGAAGTAGTCGGCAACCTGTCCTGCAACAACACTGAACACCCACATCAACAGATAGGGCAAAGCGGATACAAAACTATCCTGGCAGGGGAAATACAAAAAGAATATTTATAAATATAAAGCCCCCAAAAAATGTTGTAGGGTCAAATAATCATGAACTTGATAGCATGAACAGTTTTATTAAATGAATAATGATATAAAACCGGCGTTGAATGTAATGAAACAACATTTCCTGGGTGAAGAAAATATTGTTTCACAAGAGTCAACACAAGAGTGAAGCATCAGACACAAGTGGTACACAAGAGTGAAGCATCAGACACAAGTGGTACACAAGAGTGAAGCATCAGACACAAGTGGTACACAAGAGTGAAGCATCAGACACAAGTGGTACACAAGAGTGAAGCATCAGACACAAGTGGTACACAAGAGTGAAGCATCAGACACAAGAGGTACACAAGAGTGAAGCATCTTAGACAAGTGGTACACAAGAGTGAAGCATCAGACAAGAGGTACACAAGAGTGAAGCATCAGACAAGAGATACACAAGAGTGAAGCACCTTAGACAAGTGTCTGATGAAGTTCTTCAGTTACATGTACAATTCTCATTCGTGTGCTTGTGTTTTATCAAGGAATAAGATAACTGGACATTATAACATGCCATAAATACCTACTCTTCATACAATTAAAATCAATGGGAAATGGTTAAATAAAATAATGACATTTACAAGAAACAAAGTTAATAAATGAATAAAATACTGTACAGTAATGGGAAATATAATATTCCTTCCAAACATGTAACATGTAATACTTACATGAGCTATATTAAAATGCAAAATGTTCTTCATATATGTAGGCAGCTCAGTTAGCAGAGTGTAGAACCCCCAGTTTTGTGCTATATGCACCACAAAGATGGCCCAGAATGGCAGAGATCTTAGAATATGCCGCCACGGAATGGCTGCAACCTGTAAATACAAAGGTGTTGGAGCTCTTTTTTTTTTTTTTCTTGATTGTTTCAACATGTTGCTGATGTACGCTTTGTTAATATCATTTATCAAACAGGTTACTTCAGTCATATCTCCCATTGTTCTACACATCTTTCATGAGATTGTAAAGTGTTCATAATAAAAGTATAAAGAATTCTGGTGCTAAGGATTAATTATGCCATTCAACACCATAAACTGGAGAAATTTTGGCCAAACAAAAATTATAATACTCTGATGAAAACTGCACATCATAAGTCAACCGAGTTCATTCCTATTGCTAATACTTCTAGATAATAACATCTCATTTTTACCTTATAGCATCTAATTTTGCACTGCTAACTTTGTTTTAGGTCTACTTAACATTACTGTTCTTTCTTTTACAAATATTCTTATTTTATCACATTGAGTTGATAGCTATTATTTCACTGTTTCCCAAACTTAACGTCTTATTTGTCAACAGCTAATTGCATCTGCTATTTATGGTCCAGATTTCAAACTATTGTGGTCTTCCCAAGAAATTCGTGACTGATGGTACCTTGTATTATGACACTGAACAGTGTATGATAGCTTCAGGGAGCTAACAGGGCTCCCCCCCAGAAAAATAAATAAATCAAAACCCTTTGTGGACAGCACCCTGGGGAAGGTGCTATTGGCCATACACGGATCTCAATAAACCTAACACATTATATGTCCCTGACAATATTAAACCATTACACAACTCTTCAAAAGACAAATATAAAATCCTTTGTTCTTTGTTTCTAAATAAAGTATATCTGTCTAAAGAAATAAAAGAGATGAAGGTCAATTTAGAAGCTTACTTTTGTGTTGCTTGTTGTCTGGTCAAGTGATGTCTGAATGTAAATCTTCTCTTCCAAGGATATCCTGGGATGTGACTCAGGAGTGTTATGGATCTGGCAAAACAAAAATAAGCACAAATATATAGGATTACATGTCTATATTGTACAGAGCAGGAATAAGTTTCTTCAGTTACATGGATTAGTCAAACAGATGCATTCAGTGGGATTCTTTTTCAACTTTCTTATTTCAATAGAAGTGGCAAAGAGGGAGCTTCTAACACCTTTCTTAACACATACAGGAGGAGGAGGAGGAAGGAGCAGAAGCACTGTGCCTGCCACTTTCCATAGTGTATAACAAATCACCGGTAACAGGGAAGCTGCCAAAAATTTGAAAGACTGCTAATGTAATCCTGACATACAAAAAAGGGGGATAAACTATGGTATAGTAATATTATTTTAATTAAACATACCAGAAGCATCCAGAGTAAGAACCAAAGTAGTCCCAGCACACCAAACACATAGAAGACTGCTGGCCAGCCCCCAAGGAAAGATGACTGACATAATAAACCAGAGATTGGAAGTGATATCACAGTCCCAAACTGAGCTCCTGAAACAATTAAATAATAGTTAATGCATAGTGTATGAAATAGCCATAAGACTACTGCACATGTTTTACCAGTAGTTTCCTCTACCCTCATGTCCTTAAATAATTCACCCTCTCAGAAATATTACTGTATTCCTACACAATTTAACAGTCTGCCCTCTCACTGCGGGCTCTACTGTAAAACATTCTGAATTTTTCAGCATCCAGCTCAGCAACACCCAAATATTTACACCCATTTTTAAAGTTCCTATGTTACCCTTTGGGTTACAGTATAACAAAATTCAGTGTCAAAAATGTTCAGAAATAAATGTTCTAAAGAATAGATTAGAAAAAACAGCATTGAATGTAATTAAGTGCCAGTTTCTGGGTGAGCCCTAGAGGCTACCAGAAGCTACTCTACTGATCAAATGCCATGATCACTGGGGTGTGTTCATCAGTTACAGCCAATGTTGTGGTGTGAACATCAGTTACAGCCATTGTTGTGGTGTGATCATAAGTTACAGCCATTGTTGTGGTGTGTTCATCAGTAAAAACCATTGCTATACCTTTCTAAATTTCACACAATGAAACAGTGCTGGAGACTGGATTGACATTGCTTGGTGTAGTTTATTAGTTCAATAATTCCTGTACCATACAAGGAAAACTCCAGCAGTGTATAGCTAATGGGAAATAAATTAATTCCAGACCGAGTTGATCAAATCACAAGAATGACTAACTTTGACTGTGATCTGACCTAGAAGGTATAAAGCCATTATTTATAAGCAGTTAGCAGCAGTAATCATTTAAATGCTATATTTACCAGCATATACAAGGGAACTCATCTTGCTTCGTTCGAGGGGAGGAACCCACTTGGCCATCAGTGAGTTCATCGCTGGGAAAGTTACACCCTGTAAATAGTTATACATCAGTTCTAAAATGATAGAGAACTTGAATAAATTGGCACAAGATATCCTTCTATGTCACTGTGCATTAATAATATACAAACTAGACTAAAAACATTAACTTAATACTGAAATATGAACATTTAACCACTGCATGCTACTGATTTGCAAATAAAATATTCATGATTTGCTTCAGATTTTTTAACAAAATCATATTTGCTATGTACTGTACGTTAACTATTCTGTATTCTTACTGTCATCAAATTTCTCAACATTCTGTTAGTGTGTAGATAGGATTTTTATACTCATTCACATTACTGTAATGGTTTCCATTTACTATGATAGTCTCTATTGACTTTTCTGTAAGACTAATCATAGTACTGCACACTTCACGAACCATATATCATTCAGTGCACGGCCACACTTGGGAGGACTTGGGAGCACACCTCTCCCACAAGACATGGGAGCACACACCTCTCACACAAGACATGGGAGCACACACCTCTCACACAAGACATGGGAGCATGCCTCTCCCAACATAAAGAGAGATAAATCAACTTTAACACTAACCTCGCCTAAACCTTCCACTACACGAAGGGCAATAAGTAATGGCGTGCTTGTTCGTGCCACCACTGGTGTTAGGATGGTCAATACAGATGTGATAAGAACACCAACACCAAACACAATTTTGCCACCTATTAATTCTCCTAATCGTCCTCCAAGTATATTAGTCAATATGTAGCCCCAGAAGAAAGATCCCAAGATCATTCCTTGTTCATATTCATTCCATATGAATTCACCATCCTGTAGAAAAAAGTAAGCATTATTGAGTTGAACTAAAAATCAGGAATGTGATGTTTTCCTTTCATTAGATGTATCATGACTACCTACTACAGTAGTTGACTACCTGTTTTAAATTTTGAGGATCAATGTCCCCACAGCCCAGTCTCTGATCAGGCCTCCTGGTTGCTGGTCTGATCGACAAGGATGTTCGATGTGGCTGCTCGCAGCCCGACGTATAAGTCACAGCCTGGTTAATCAGGTATCCCTTAAAGATGCTTCTCGAGTTCTCTTTTGAACACTAAAAGAGGTCAGTCAGTTGAGCCCGTATGTGTAGCAAAAGAATGTTGAAAAGTCTTGGGTCTTCAATGTTGATCGAGTTCTTTCTCAGCGTGCCTATTGCACCTTTGCTCTTCAGTGGGGCTATTTTGCACATCCTGCCATGCCTTTTGCTCACAAGTAGTGTTATTTCTGTGTGCAGATTTGGATCCAGTCATTCTAATATTTTCCAAATTTAAATTATTATGTATCTCTCCAGTCTCCACTCTAGGGAATACAGATTTAACATTTTTAGGAGGTTCCAATAATTTAGGTGTTTTAAATTAAATTAAAGTAAACTTAAATTTTTTGTACAGAAAAAGTACTGTACATACATAGATGACGAGTTACAAACATAATGTTGGCTTTATAGATAGAGCTAGTACATACAATACCCAAAGCCACTAATACGCATAGCGCTGTTTTTATTGAGTGGATTCTAGCAGTAAAAAGAATCCTTGGAAGTGTACACTCCCCAGGTCAGCAATTTCTCTTCTGACATGATTACTCCTAAATCTTTTACATGGCTTTTTCTTTTGATAGTGTGCTTTGACTGTGCTTTATATGTGGTTTCTGCCTTGATGGTTTCCTTTTTCCATGGCACAGTAACTGGAATTTATCCTCATTAAACATCATGTTATTTTCTGTGACCCATTGAAACACTTGATTAATATTGGATTGGAGGTTTGCTGTGTCCTCTATAGTGTCTACTCTCATGAAAATTCTAGTGTCATTTGCGAAGGATGATACAGTACAATAGATTGTATCCTTGTTTATGTCTGATACGTATGAGGAGGAGGAAAAGTACCGAAGCAAGTACAGTTCCTTAGGGAACTGAGGTGTTGAGTATTACACTCTGGGTTTTGTTTGCTAGGAAGTTAAAGATCCATCTCCCTTATCACCAGTAATTAGCACACAAGGGATTTTCTACTTAACTCTGAATACACAATACAGTACTGTATTCAAAGGATAAAAACCCACACATGTATTTGTGTATTTTATGTAAAGATTTGCAACGTCCTTTGCACTTTCCTGAGTGCTTTACCAAGGTCTCATATACTGTGCTCAGACCAAAGAAAGGCAACCTAACCATATACTCAGACCTTGATAAAGCACCCAGGAGAGTGCAAAAGACTTTGTGTAAATCTTTACATAAAATACACAAATACAGAAGTGTGAATTTTTATCCTATGTTATTATGTCTGAGAAGATATTACCATTACTTAACTGTACTCAAAACCATACACATCACAGGACACTTGTTGAAGAACTAAGTTTCTAACAGCCAACAGAACAGCTCTTTTAACAAATAATTTCTTAATAATGGACCTGTAATCAAGGAGAAAAAGTGACTCAATAGGGTGAACCAAAAAAATTACACCATCAAAGTGTAGACTCTCATATATACAGTAATGCAATCGAACTAAAATGTTACAAGAATTCAGTACTGTAAATGAACTTTTAACTTACCTCAGAAACTTGAGTGGAGTTGTCAACAGGAGTCTGACACACATCTACTTCAGTGATATTTGTATGTGGAATAGCTGTATTGTTAACCATAGCAACAATGGCTACAGACAAGTTAACTCGCATGGCATACACATTAGCAAAGCCCACGAAACCCATCAAAGCCAAAATGTGTCTTGCACCAAAGCATGCTGGAAAAGTTCATTACATTCTAAAAACTATATTATAGCTCAGTACATAATTAGTACTGAGTACAGTACAGAATTAGAGCTGAAATATTAAGTACAAAAGCTATTAAATTCTAGAGCCCAATTTACACCATACACAATTAAAAATGAAATACTTTACAATAACGTACACAAATAATCCATGGGCAATAATTGTGGCAAAATAGGCAAATACCTAATTCTATTTCTAATTGAGTCTAGATGAGGGAGACCTGAAAAGAAAAATCACAAAACTTACAAGCAATCAGTTATAGAAAATGTTATTATGCAAGGCATCTCTTAAAGACTTGCCAAGAGAGGCCCTCAAGTGCTGGCACGTATTAGAGAACAGTGCCAGATAAAAGTCACTAAGAGCCAGCTTTAGCTTCTGAGCCACAATATGGGTATTGACACATGCTATTACACTCTTCACTACAATGCTCCGCCAGACCCAGTGGCCAACATGCTTTTCTTCAGTTTAAATCTTCACTCAATATTAGTGCTTAAATTGGGGAATCTTAACCGGTGGTCCCTGGAGCCGAAGGAAAAACATGAAAGGGTTTCTAGGGGTTCATGAACTGGGACAAAATCCTTACCTTATCCTACAGTTCCTTCCTGCTACTTTTAAAATTGTGTACTCACCTATTTGTTCCTGCAGGATAAAGCATTGGCTATTGGATCCCGCCTTCCTAGCCACCGCTTGCTTAAATCAATAACTCCTGTCTTATTTCCCTATCATTTCACAACCTGCTTCTTAACACTTTCGTCTCCTGGGAACGTTGGCGATGTCTGTCCCTGCCGGACGAATGTTCGCCAGGGACGGCCGAGACGTCCAAAATTCAAATATTTGTTAAAACTCTTATTTGTTTTCCGATCATTATGGGACTAGTTTTAAAATGTGCACCTTTAGATTGCAAACCATTTGATACCAGAATGAATAGCATAGCATGAAAATTGAGGTGAGAAAACTGAACAGAGTACAATATACACATTTTATTGTGGGTGTGCGGATGGGTGCTTGCTCATGGGTAATGCTCGGCAGATTTTCTAGTTTGCTGTGGGTAGCGCGCCTGTTTATTTTTATCTTATATACATACATCACTATAGAAAATTCTATTGCGAACAATTTGATACCAAACTGAATGATGTAACATGAAAATTGACATGAGAAAACTGAAGAGAATATGCACATTTTAGTGGTTGCTTGTTCACAGGTAACTAACGGTAAATACTGTACCACCAAATGCTCCCAGAACTGAAGGACAAGAGCTACGAGGAGAGGATGACGAGTGACTGAGTGTCAAACAGTTTGTTCTTCTTGGGTCACTCATACTGTGAGGTGAGGTAAGTTACGTGTGCAACAATAAACCTGTCAACCGGCCTCGCATTTCATGTTCTCTCCCGATTCCATGTATGGCTAACCATCCTGTGAGATGAGGATTTAGATGAACTTATAGCTAGCTGTTGATCTACACTTTGTAATCTTTCATATAAAACAGGGTAGCAGCACATTGATGTACTCATCTAGTTGTGCTTGCAGGGGTTGAGCTCTGGCTCTTTGGTCCCACCTCTCAACTGTCAACTGGTGTACAGATTCTGGAGCCTATTGGGCTCTAATGAGCCTGATGTGTATATCTAAGCTTGATAATAATAATAACTATAATTACTATGGATCATCCACTTCTTTTTCCATATTCAATTTACCTTAATCTAACCGAGGGCTGGTCTCTAGTGGCCTCAGCGGGGACAGGAAGCCAGCGACTGGTCTAATGCTGCATTATTCCTCAGGATTTTTCCAGCTAGATTCCAGTTCAATGCAAATGGGGGTCTTCGACAAGCCGCCGGCTTGCCGTCCTCGTTGAGGCCACTAGTGTCAGTGGCTCACAGGTAAATTCAGACTTTGAACTATGTTTTTGTTGTTGTTTTTGGCCAAGTCAACAGGTTCCTGCTGATGACCCGTCAGGCAATACCGTTGTTATCCTGTAATTAACTACTAAACTATCCCACACTGAAAGAAAGGTCGTTATTAAGATAAAGCTTTAAGGAAGTATACATGAAGCCACACACAGAGAGAGAGAGAGACAGACAAGCAGCGACAACAGCGCCAGCAGGAGCCCCAGCAAGAGGAGGAGGCCCCATAATACCTACCATAGTGTGGTGGAGGTGGTGCCTCACGGCCACCATCAACCCCCGTCATCACCTCCTCATGCCCAGCCTCACCACTCATCACTACACCAGGACAAGTGTACAGCAGCAGCAGGAGCTGTGAGGGCCAGCAGCAGTGCCAGGACCAGCAGGGTCCGCCCCCCTCCCTCACCCTCGCTGCCAACCATCACAATCTTACTCAACTTTTACATTACTCACCTCTTATATTATTATTTATTTATATATTAACCTTTACATTGTTTAAATATGTATATTAACCTTTCGCATTATAATGTGTTATATAAGTAAATTAATGAAATTTGCATTTTTTATATGTGGGTGATGTGGGGGGTTGCATTTGGCTCTTTGGTCCCGCCTCTCAATCATCAATCTCCTGATCTATAGCTTCCTGAGGTTCTCGAGTTCTATCATATCTACATTTGAAACTGTGTATGGAGTCAGCCTCCACCACATCACTTCCAAGTGCCTTCCATTTACTAACTAATCTGACACTGAAAAAGCTCTTTCTAATGTGTCTGTGGTTCATTTGGGTACTCAGCTTCCACCTGTGTCCCCTTGTGCGTGTACCACCTGTGTTAAATAATCGAATTTTGTCTATCCTGTCAATTCCCTAAGAAGTTTGTATGTGGTGATCATGTCTCCCCGAGCTCTTCCGTCTTCCAGTGATGTGAGATGAAGTTCACGCAGTCTTTCCTCGTTCCTTATGCCTCTTAGTTCTGGGACTAGCCTAGTGGCATACCTCTGAACTTTTTCCATCTTTGTCTTGTGCTTGACAAGGTACGGGCTCCATGCTGGGGCCGCATACTCCAGTATTAGTCTTACATATGTGGTATACAAGCTTCTGAAAGATTCTTTACACAGGTTTCTGAAGGCAGTTCTGATGTAGCCAGACTTACATGCGCCGATGATGTTATTCCTCCCTAAGTATTAAGTTTTAGTCTAAGTTTTTTCCCACACCTTGCCCGAAACTCTGTGTGTATTAGTGACTTTAGGCATGGTATGTACTAGCTCTATCTATAAATCCAACATTATGTTTGTAACTCACCTTCTAATGTATATACTTTTACTTGAATAAACATTTGATTATGATTTGATTTTAAGTCTTTTGATGTGGGCTTCAGGAGACAGGTTTGGCTTAATATTAACTCCTAGATATTTCTCTTTGTCCGTTTCATGAATGACTTGACATTCGGGAGATTAACTATAAGATATTAACAATACTTAGTGTTAAACTTACTGTGACGGTAACGCGTTGGTGTTCGGCTGTTTCAAAAGCTAGGGGCATGGCCTCGTCACAAAGAAAAAAAAAAAAAAAGCTGGAACTTTCGTCTGTGGTAAGGTAATGGGAAGACACACAAAACACAAGTAAATTTAACAATGAAATTTGAATTACGTTAGAAAAGCAAGACATGAATAAAATTGAGCATAAAAATGTAACAGACAAATCAACAAACAAAATAATAAGAATAATCACTGGCAAATGAAAAGTTACGTTAAGACAAGTGAATAATAGCAAAGTAAATAATAGTGCAGGAATATTGGCTTCGAGCTGCCACCTCCCTTAGTACACGTAAGCCAAGGCTTAGTCTACCAATGAGACGTGTCAACTGTGTGGAGCACTGAGATATTCTGCCTTCTCTAGGTCGCTGTAGCCCAGACATCAACTTGTGGAGGAGGGTGGTGGGGCAGGAGTGCTGGACACCAGCCAATCAGCGACCGGCAGGCGATGGACAAGCAGTTTGCCGGTTACCGGTGGCGGAGGCGAGCAGGTGCGCCGGTGGGCCGGATACGTTTTGCTCTCTGGGCAAAACGTTTTGGAGATACTTGTTGGATATATCTTCTATATTATCTGTTGAGGTGACGTACTTTGGAGGGAAGAGCAATACAATACAATACAATACAATTTTATTTAGGTAAGGTACATACATACAATAAATTTTTACAAGGATTGGTAGACTTATAGGTAGAGCTAGTACATACAATGCCTAAAGCCACTATTACGCAAAGCGTTTCGGGCATGATAAACTTAAATGACAAGCTTAATACTACAGTAATTGAGCATAATGAGTAGAATGAAAACAAGAAATGAAAACATAGATGAAAAAGCAGCACAAATACAATTATGTCGACAAACAGCGCTCTTTAAAGAAAAAACACAGACATTGGTTGACAATAGAAGGGTAAGGTAGGTTACAGGGAATTTATTAGGTATAGCTTCGCTTTTAACTTAAACTGGTTGAGAGAGGTACAGTCTTTAACATAGCAGCAGGCTCAATCTCTCTTGAAAGAGATTATCGTCACACTTACTAAGTCAGGTCGAGAGGTAATAATAATAATAAGAATCAGGGGAAAGCGCCAAACCATTACGACTGTATAGCACTTGGAAAGGGTCAGGATAAGGATTTGGGATGGGACGGCGGGAAAGGAATGGTGCCCCACCACTTGTGGACGGTCGGGGATTGAACGCCGACCTGCATGAAGGGAGACCGTCGCTCTACCGTCCAGCCCAAGTGGTTGGGCAAGTCGAGAGGTTGTCACAATCAACTTTAAGTATTATTTCAATTTATCATGTACAAGTTTTTGTATCATTTGTTTCCTTTCTTATTTTATGTAACTTCTATTAAGCGAAGCAGTAGTTTTTCTGTCATATATATTATTATTCAGAAAAAAACTTTTACCAAAGTCATATCTTGTAAAGTAACTTGTTATACATTAAGTTTTCCATAACTTTATATCATATCTCTGACCAAAACGTTTGTCACCTCAACACTATGAGACTAACATGTTATCTGCAGTTAGTGTGTGTTCACGTCTCTGATAACAGTACTCTCTGTGTGGTGCTGGTCGCCTGGGGGGAGGTAGTTTACTTATCACACTTCATGTGTGGTTAACTTATCATAAACATAAGCAACGGCGCTGGTTCAGTCGTACACAGGCGTCCTATTAACAACTTGTACAAATCGTTACATTTCTGGCATTGTAAATTAAGTTTACATTTTAAACATGTATTGAATAATATTTAGCTTAAAATCTGAGCTGTGATATATATTAGCAAAACACTGTAGTACAGTACTAGCAATGACAACGGGGTGAGAACAGCTTGAGCTACCTCATCCCTTTGTGTGTATTTTACCTCAATAAACTTATTTCAATTTCATCAGTCTGCTGTAAGGTAATGTTGTTAATATGGTAGTTGTGGGGTTGATTATTATTATGCCCCACATGCAAGGTCTTGAATTTGTTAAAATTAAAAATAATTTACCAGTCTTTAGACCATTTATGGAGATCATGTAACGCTCTTTGTAAGGCATCAATATCATTTTCACTTCCCACTTTATCATAAATGTTAGTGTCAGAAATTATAAATTATAAATACATTCAGTAGAATAAATTTTAAAATATTTGTTTACAAGTTACCAACATTCAGCGACGCGTTATAAGACAGGAGACGTCACCTAAATAAAAAAGTAAGTTCAATTTCAACAGGATTTGTGTAACATAGGTCTTATTTCAACAGGATTTGTGTAACATAGGTCTTATTTCACCAGGATTTGTGTAACATAGGTTTTATTTCAACAGGATTTGTGTAACATAGGTCTTATTTCAACAGGATTTGTGTAACATAGGTCTTATTTCAACAGGATTTGTGTAACATAGGTCTTATTTCAACAGGATTTGTGTAACATAGGTCTGATTTCAACAGGATTTGTGTAACATAGGTCTTATTTCAACAGGATTTGTGTAACATGGGTCTTATTTCAACAGGATTTGTGTAACATGGGTCTTATTTCAACAGGATTTGTGTAACATGGGTCTTATTTCAACAGGATTTGTGTAACATGGGTCTTATTTCAACAGGATTTGTGTAACATGGGTCTTATTTCAACAGGATTTGTGTAACATGGGTCTTATTTCAACAGGATTTGTGTAACATGGGTCTTATTTCAACAGGATTTGTGTAACATGGGTCTTATTTCAACAGGATTTGTGTAACATAGGTCTTATTTCAACAGGATTTGTGTAACATAGGTCTTATTTCAACAGGATTTGTGTAACATAGGTCTTATTTCAACAGGATTTGTGTAACATAGGTCTTATTTCAACAGGATTTGTGTAACATAGGTCTTATTTCAACAGGATTTGTGTAACATAGGTCTTATTTCAACAGGATTTGTGTAACATAGGTCTTATTTCAACAGGATTTGTGTAACATAGGTCTGATTTCAACAGGATTTGTGTAACATAGGTCTGATTTCAACAGGATTTGTGTAACATAGGTCTTATTTCAACAGGATTTGTGTAACATAGGTCTTATTTCAACAGGATTTGTGTAACATAGGTCTGATTTCAACAGGATTTGTGTAACATAGGTCTGATTTCAACAGGATTTGTGTAACATAGGTCTGATTTCAACAGGATTTGTGTAACATAGGTCTGATTTCAGCAGGATTTGTGTAACATAGGTCTGATTTCAACAGGATTTGTGTAACATAGGTCTTATTTCAACAGGATTTGTGTAACATAGGTCTTATTTCAACAGGATTTGTGTAACATAAGTCTTATTTCAACAGGATTTGTGTAACATAAGTCTTATTTCAACAGGATTTGTGTAACATAAGTCTTATTTCAACAGGATTTGTGTAACATAGGTCTTATTTCAAAGATATATGTAATATAGATCTGATTTCAGTAGAATTTATGTATAAAATATCTGATTTAAACAGGATTTAGGTAAAATAGATCTGATTTAAACAGGATTTAGATAAAATAGATTCGATTTTTAACAGCACTTATATTACCATAGATTTACAATGCGGTTAACTCTCTCTGTGGCAATAATTGCTCAACACTTTCACGCTCTCCACGAACTGGACTGTAGTACGGACTTCGAGGTGAATTGGACGTTTTCGGGGGACCGAGCTGCAACACTGAAAAGTGCATACTCTTTTCGCTGTCCTGACCTTAATTTTCGATGTACAGATTTCATTTTTGTACCAATGTGTTCGCAATAGAATGCTCTATAAGAACATATGTATATGTCACCAAAGCATGAGTTAAATCACACAAAAAGCTAAAGAACTACATCGATCACTAGCCCTGAGCTCCAAACAGCGACGAAATGTTTCTATTCTTTTCAGGGTTGTCAACTCCACACTTGTCTTACAGCGTTAAATTTGA